TGGTGGGGGGGGGGGAGTAGAAATAGGAAGCCCGGGGGTGGGGAGACGTGCCAGGCAGCACAGGTAGGAGATCAAGTCTCCTAGGGAAGGGCTGGAGAAGATGAGCCCTGCAGAGAGTGCATGGGTCTGTGTGTGTTGTGCACCAGAACCAGCCGTGCTGGGAGGGAGCTGATTCGTTCAGAAAGGGGCCTGCTGGGAGCATCTCTGCCCCGTCCTGACCACAGACACTTGGAGAAGCAGCAAATCTTGCCGGACCATTCTCCACCCGGCCCTGTACGCCTGGCAGAATCACCTCCCGGCTGGGCTGCTGAGCAAATCGCCGCCGGGAGTCACCAGGGAGCAGAGGTGAAAGGACGCGGGTCGCCCTGGTGTGCAGCCCCGGCAAGAGCTGGCTGAGCCGTGGCAAAAGCCAGCAGGGGGCTGTTGAAAGAGCAGGCAGGGACCTGGGTTGCCGTAGAACAGGACCTATAAGATATTTAGGTTCTTTTCACCCCTGAGGGAGACAGCTGGAGGGGCGGATCCAGTACCTAGAGAATTGCACCCAGGGGAATTAGGAGCCAGATTGTCATGTTCCCCTGTGACTTAGGAGCCTAACTCTGATTGACCCTCAGTGGGACTCAGGGCTCCTGGGTGAGTTTTGTAAACTGGACTTTAGCTCTTACATCCACATTGAAGAGTTAGCCCAGATGCTGCTCCTGGGGCTACCCCTTCCACCGACACCAGAGCGCCTCTCCTTCAGGAGGGAGGGGCTTTAAGCTGAGGGGGAAGGGCTGGTATCCCTCCTGCTTCACTAGTGCTAACCTCAAAGGCCATTGGCCCAAACAAGCGTGAGATTTCTAGAGAGGACGTTATGGGGGTTTAGTCTGATTTTTGGCTGCTCACATCCCCCCTGTTTCCCCTTGCTCTGTCTGAACCTCCGAAACTATCACTTCAGCCCCCCCAACCCAACCACCCCCTCATTTCAGCCTCTTTTGCTTCCTCAAATTCAACCAGCCCATCCCTTCTCCCCCTCAGCTCCCTCACTCCCCCCTCCATCGGAAACGGACACCTCTGTGCTGAGGCCTGGCAAATTGTTCACACTAGACTGAGTCACATGCTGGAAAATGAGCTTTAAGGAAGAAACTCAGGCCAGAGGGCTGCCTGGGGACCGCAAACCTCATTTCAGCCTCTTTTGCTTCCTCAAATTCAACCAGCCCATCCCTTCTCCCCCTCAGCTCCCTCACTCCCCCCTCCATCGGAAACGGACACCTCTGTGCTGAGGCCTGGCAAATTGTTCACACTAGACTGAGTCACATGCTGGAAAATGAGCTTTAAGGAAGAAACTCAGGCCAGAGGGCTGCCTGGGGACCGCAAAGATCTTTTCTTTCTCTGTCTTCTAGGAGTTGGAGCGAGGAGCAGAAAAAACAAGCCACACAAATTCCGCTGCGGCTCATTAACACACCAAGTGGAAGAAGAATCCAGCCTCTGGCCTATTCTCCGTGTTTCTCTTGGCCACCTGACCCTGGCACGAGTGTTGTGACTACGGAACCCACTGCGAGGCCCTGCGGTAGCAACGCGTGACCGTTGCACAGAGAGAAGCCGACGCCAGCTTCGCCTTTGGCCCCATTCTCCCCCGCGCCCATCTCTCGCCTTCCGCGCACCAGGCCCCACGGCCGGGGGCGGCGGCGCCTCTTCCTTTGCATGGCCCAGCAGCGCGGCTCTTGCTGATAAACAACCCTGGTAGCATTTTCCCGGAAACACTCTGGAGGCTTACTGCAGCCATTTTAGCCCTCCCATTAACAAACCGATGAGCCTGGCCCTGCCTCCTCCATCAGAGCCAGTTCCCTTGAGCAACCCTGGCAAATACTGTCAGCGGAAACGGGCAACACACGCTAATGCAGGGAGCCCTGCAGCTTCCAGCCTGCCGGAGGGAAGGCGACCTGGATTCAGATCCCGTGGGAGGCTTCCTCCCAGCAGATCGGTTACTGAAGGAGACTCTGGGCGTCTGTTCTCCCCACTCCCCCGCTTGTCATCTCTCGCCTTGCACTTAGATCACAAACTCTTTGGAGATAGACTGTCGTTAGGGGCGTACAGCGCCTAGCCCAAGCTAGGTCCTTGCATGGTGGCCAGGTGGTCCCACAATACAAATATATTAGTATCCACTCCTGAAACAAAAAACAGGACTATGTAGCACTTTAAAGACTTACAAGATGGTTTATTAGATGATGAGCTTTCATGGGCCAGACCCACTTCCTCAGATCAAAATGAAGTGGAAGTGGGTCTGGCCCACGAAAGCTCATCATCTAATAAACCATCTTGTTAGTCTTTAAAGTGCTACATAGTCCTGTATTTTGTTTCAGCTACACCAGACTAACACGGCTACATTTCTATCACTATCCACTCCTGAGGATGCTCTTCAAGTCCTCAGCTCAAATTCTGCTTTCACTTTCACCGCCTGACTCCATGGACCTCAGCGGATTCATTCCAGCTTCACCCTGGGGAAAGAGCAGAATTTGGCCTGACTTGCTGACGCGCATAGGCATGAGCCGGGAGGAGCTAGTCGAGGGAGCAGGGTTCTTATCGGCTTTGTTTGGGGTTCCCAAGAGCATGCTGACACAGCTGGCTGAGACAGGGTTTGCTGGTGGCCTTGAAAAGGAAACCAGCTGAAGCAAGTGGAGGGAGCGAAGGCGACCTGAGAATTAGTTACTGAGTGTTTTTCCTTTTCTGCATTCTTCATTTGTTCTTTTTTATTTATTAAAAACACAGACACAGGCACAATTGCCTGACAAAGGGCATCCTGGCTGAAAACTCAGGGATGAGTCAGACTCAAAGTGTTCAGCATCTCTCCAAGATCGGAGCTCATGGGGCATGGGATTCAACCTAGATCTTTCTAACAGAGATTCTTCACATCCTGGGTGGGACCTCACGCAGCCCAGAGCCACGCTGCCACGAGGGACCACGTGGGCTGCTTTTTGGCACCCACATGGACTTCGGTTGGAGCTGCAGGTGCCCAGCACCTCTGAGAACCTGTGGTATCTCACTGTGCCCCCTCCTGCCCGCTGACATCCCCCAAAAGTCTGCTCTTCCCAGTATTAGTCTTCAAGGCTGGCTAAGTGGATACGGCCAGGCTACAGAAAGACAAAGTGCATTCTCCTCCATAGCTGGAGACAGGTCCCAAGAGCCGATGGAAACAAATGGTGCGGAGGAGAGACGTGAGGTGGAGTCTGGCCCCACAATCGATTTGTCCTGGGCTCCCCTCGCTGTAGGCCGGTGGCCCTGTGGCTGGCAGAGACTAAAGCAAAAATGATACAGCACGGCCCACTTCTAGAGCCTGTTCATGCCCCATCCACGGATGTTTCCCAGGATTCAACGATCTCCATCCCAAGCCTGGCATCTTTCGGCCTTGACCTGGCCCGCAACGATCGTGTTTCAACGTGCCCATGCTGAGCCTCTGCGCCCAACCCCGGACCTGCAGGAGCCACCAGCAGGCAGGTTGCAAAGAACCCAGCCTCTTCTTGAATTCAGCAGCATTTTGTTATCCCGCCCATGGGGAAGGGCTGACTTTTCCCATTGGTTGACAGGGTACCAGTGATTGGCATCCAGCCTCCCTTTTAGGGGGCTCCTGGGAGGTTCGGCTGGCAAAGCGGGAGCAAGGGAGGGAGCACCATGGCTCTGCGGGCTGCACCTGTGGTGACCCTCCGGTGGACGCTGATCCTTCTCTTGTGGAGCCGTTCCCTGGGTGAGTTTATCTCCCTGCTAATTCTGCCGCACCCTGTATATGGGGGGGGGGGTACTGAAAAGGCAGCGAGTGGGTGGGCTCTGCTAGCCTAGCCCTGGGCTCGCAGCATTCACGGTGCTTGCTGGCCCTTCCGTGGCTCCAGAGGCCAGGCCCAGACGGAGGGAGGTGGCAGGGTCGCTGCCTTTGTCTGTCAGTCTGGGAGCTAGTGGCGGGGAGTCCCATGGGGCTGTCTGCCTCCAGCAGCCTTGGTAGAGAATCCCCCTTTATAACCTTGTCCACCAAGTCCTGTCTCTTCCCTGCCCCAAGGGCTATTGCACCCACTTTCAATGGCCTGCCCTGGTGCCCTGGGTCTAGAGCTGAGCTCTGGCTCTCAGGTCTGGTGGGAGTTTTCCCTGGCAGAAAGGAGGGGAACAAGGGTAGGAAGTGACAGTCCATAGATGTATTGGGGGGCCCCTGGTTCTGGCCTGGACGGGGATATTGCAGTTCACAGTAGGTGCAATTGCTTGCTGGGCCAGTGAGTGCTGGCATGAGGCAGCCTTTATCCACCAAGGGCAGATCCTGCACCCTGGACACTCTCTGGACTCTCTGGGAGTTGCGGGTGCATGAGATCGGTGACACTGGTCCCCTACTGCCCTCGGACTTGGTCTGGGGGAGTGGGATGCAGAGGCTTAGTGTAAAGTAGTAACTCTGGAGTAGAGCTGCTGGGGTCCTGTGCCATCGAAGGATGTATGGGGGGAGAGGCACCCTTACAGAGCACTAGTACCCCGGCCAGGCCATGCTCTTCTCTTCCCTTGCTGGCGTGCCGAGGCGCTGGCACGAGGGGTGTGACACTGCAGCACCCCCTTGGGTTGAAGTTGCAATCGCAACCCAAATCCATGGGTATGGCCCTCAGCTCCCCACCCCCATTACAAAAATGTTTCCAGCCCCACTCTCTGCATGTGAGCCCTGGGGGTCTGGGAATCAGGAGGTCACAGCCCCGGCCCTTCCCGTTCATCTAACTCGCCACCAGCTGGGCTGCTCTTTGCACCTGGCTGGGGTTACAGACACAGTGCTGTGTCCTGGAAGGCTGTGAAGGCTTCACATCCATTCAGCTTCCAGGGGCTGGTCTTGGAGGGGAGGAGCTGCACCTGGCGATAAGATGATCCTTCTCTTCCAGGAGCCAAGGCTAACCTACCGCCAGTCCCCAGGTTCGGAGATGTCTATCACGTTACAGGTAATGCGCCAGGAGTGTGCTTGGCCCTGTGCGTGTGGGGCTGGCGTCTCAAAGAGGGGACTTCTGAGGCTTAATTAATATTTGCCAGTGCCTGGAGAGCCGTGTCTGGAAGGTGCTGTTGAACCCCCTCCTCCTCCTCAGGCTCCCCCAGGGACAGATTTTCACAGGCATTCTGTAGTGCTTAAGGATGCTAGTGAGATTTCCAAAACACCGCGGTAGGCTGAGCACTTAAATCCCCCTGGAAATCAAGGGGTGTTGGGTGCTTATTGGCAGCGCTAGGCGCCTAAATACCTTTGCAAGTGTGGCCCAAAGCACTTTGGCAGGGCAGAAGTGGTGCCAGCTGCAAGTCCAGGGTAGCCGGGGGTCTGAGCACAAGGGTTGGGTGTGGAGGGGGTAGCGCTTCTCCTGTGATGCCAGCCAGGTCTGACTCAGAAATCGGTCCCCTCCCGGTCTGGGTGCGTTCCAGCCACCAAAGCTGTGGGGCTGCATCTGGAACTGGCACAAAATGCAAAGGAGGGCAGATTTAGAGCCCCTGGCCCCCACCTGTTGGAACACTGGGGTGCAGGGTTTGTCCCCCATGCAAAAGGTGCCATATGATTTTGTTCAATCACATCTTTAAACAACCTTCAATTT